CAAGAGACTCATGTAATGGTACAAGATCCCAACGATGAATGCAACAGTATTTTATACCTAAAACATACCAATAAACTTAATGGGGGAAAAAAAAAAGAACAACAAAAAAAATTTCAATTACAGCAAGGAATTGGAATAATCAGTAGCCCCGGGAACATGGAACCAAACAGAGTGCTGATTCCACAAAGGGAGAATAAGAAAAGAAAGAGCAGAGAATGAAGGCACAGTCTGTTTCCTGCGGACGCCTTCCAAGTCCTTCTCAAGCTTCCATTTCCCTAAATAGGGCTCTGCCTGGGAGATGGAGACTTTTTCAGTTTTCATATGCACTGTTTGGCGACAACTGCTACTTACACTGTAATAATCTTTTTTACAAAGTAACTTGATACAACTATTTTGAAATCACACAGTTTGCAAAGAAACCCAAACCACTGATTGAAATTGTGGCATCTCAGTGTTGGCATCCATCGGGTTTAGGACCGGCCAGCCATACACTGATAAAACAGGTGCTACCAGACATTTGAAAACATTCGTAAGGCAAGGCCTCTGCTGGGTGAGAACACAGCAAGAAGATGTGCCCTCACCAGAACCTGACTCTGCGGGACTTCCTATCCTCAAGAACTAAGAGAAATAAATTTCTGTTGCTTATTAGATAAAGAAGTAAATACATGTCAGAGATAGTACATGACTGGCTCCCCATTAGCTGTGAGTAAAGATGGAACTAAAAGGGCTACGTGGATCTTCTGTTGCCCTAAGAGGCATTTTTAATAACAAAAATGTTTAAAAGACCCCATTATCCTGATCAACTCTGATTTCCTGGAAACATAAGCCTGTCATCGCCGATGAGTTTGTGATTAGGTCCTGGAGCTCACCATCCCTGAAACACAGCACAACGTCTACACAATTTCACAAATACTCTCTTGATTCTGGCTCTCTCTCAGTCTCTGTCTCTCTTTGTCTCTGTCTCTCTGTATCTGTCTGTCTCTCTTTCTCTGTCTCCCTTTCCCTTTTCCCTGCCTCCCTCCCTCTTTGCTTCCTTCCTTCTTCCTTCTTTTCTTCCTTTTATCTGGCAAAACTCCCACCTGGCGGAACACAAACATCCACCTTTCCGTCACAGCCTTCTAGTGGCTGGAAAACTGGCCTGGAGGCATTGGCCTTGGACTAAGCAGTCTCCTGTAACATTTGTGACCTTGAGCCCCACATGGGCCCTCAACATCGCCTGGTGAACCAGTTCTATTTCCCCAGGTAGTGTGTCTCTTTCTCGCAACTACTCAGCCCTCCCCTCATCTCCTCAAAGTGTTCAGCCGCCTCTCCACCAAACTCCAAGTCAAGAGGCGGATCTTAAACTTCACTGAAAACAGAATCCACGAGATGCTCCCAGGTGGCTTTTCATCCAAAGTCCACACCTCTGCATCTGCACCATTAGAGCTGTCATCTTCCTTTGAAGAGGGAGGGGATCTCTTTCTCTCCCACTTCTGCCCTGGAACCCATGCACACTTGACCCTTTTCCTGACTTTGCTTCTAGAAGTTTCTCCTCTGCCTCTTGGACCACAACTCTCTTTCTTTCTGCTAGGTCATTCCCACCCACTCACAGTATGCTGGAGAGCAGCTAAAAGGAAAACAAATCCTCCTTCAGTGCATATTCATCCTTTATCCCTCCAAGTCACAACAAAATTGCTTAAATGCAGTCCATGTTCCTTCACATTCTCCACCCTCCATTATTTTGTACACTTCTCTCTTGGGTTTGTTCCTTCATTCCTCTCCTTGTTCTTTTTCTCTAACTCCCTGAGCCCAATTTCTCTGGCTCACTGTTCCGCCTCCTCATTTCCCTGCTTCCAGGTACACCAGCCGTCTTGCCCTCCCATTTGCCCTTCCTGCCCAGGTATTCCCCTCCTTCCACTCCTTTAAACATCACCTCTACACTGGGGCCTTCCTGCTCTCCACAGCCTTCTCACGAGTAGTGGCTCCAACTTCTCTCCTTCGAAGCTCCACTTAAAAAAGTCTCACATAAGGGGAGGGGGAAGTGGGAGGGGTAGGGAAAGGAAAGAAGGGAATGGAATTAATATGAGAAAATGAAAAAATGGAAACAAAGTCTTTGTAAATGGGGAGGGATGGAGGGGTTGAAGGGAGGGCAGGTGAAGGAGGAAAAAATAAGAACCAAGATAGTATGTAAAGGTGCATATCCCCAGTGATGAATGTCATTATATTGTACACCTAAAATGTACCAATAAAAGGATATACAAAAAACAAAGTCCCATATACCTCAAACCTCATGTGTTCAAAGGTAAACCCTTGATTTCCCATCTTAAATCCCCTTGGTAGCCAGTCTTTGCTGCCGTAGTACTTGACATCATCATCTACTGAGTTGCACAAGCCTTAGAATTGCCTGTGATTTTCGTTTGCACTCATCAGAATCTATCAGTGATTCTCACTGCAAAATATACTGCAAATCTTGCAGATCTCTCCATGTCCTGCCTGATCTGGTCCACACTGCCACACTGTCGTCAAGGCTGGGTTTCAGGGGAGGGGCTGAGGTGCCTAGGGGCTCCCAGAGAGGACCCTTCCTTGCTTCACCCTAAACTGGGCTTGCCCATTACCTCCCCCTGTGCTCCACATTGGGCAGAATTCTTGCTATTCCTCCCTGGAAAGTGCAATTCACTTTTTGTCCCTTGGGGCCTCAGATCTTTACCTGGTACACTCTTCTTTCTGCTCATCACATGACAGCTCATCGTGTCTGTCTAAACAGTTTTCCTTGACCTTGGCATCTAAAACAGGCCTTCTTCCCCAATTAATTCCTGCAACAGCATATTTAGTCGACTACAATGCATATCACAACCTATAACCATTTTTCTACTTTTATACTTATTTAATTCCTATCTCTACCACTGGAAATGAGGTCAGTACTATACCTATGCCTGGTAATAAATCACTAAATCCTCATGGCTGAATACCTAGCATACAGAATTATCTATGATACAAACAAATGATACACAAATGTCCGAATGAGCTGGATTAACCTCCCAGCATACAAGGATAATGTTGTAGAGATAATGTTTCCAAAAAAACAGACTAGCTATAAAGTAAGGAACTGTGTACAATGTACAAATTAAGATTGTAGGAATTAGACTCTAGGTGCAAATCCCAGCTCTACTACTTATGAGCTTCATGACTTAGGCAAGATTTAATAGACTTCTCATCTATTGAAAAGGAGATAGTAACAGTACTTCCCTTGCAGGGATGATGTGAGGATTAAAGGAGATTTCTGGCCAAACCCTCTGGACAGTGTCTGGTGCATGTTAAACAAAATTAATCCTAAATTACTTATCTATGAAAACTGGGGAGACTTGGATCTGGAAATATAATTTTTCATATATATTCAGTCCTCTTCACTAAATATTTACGGAGCCACTGATTGTATGCCAATCTCTGTGCGAGGTGCTTGCTAACCAAACATGAATTGAACATGTTCGCCTTCCCCAGGAGTCACAGGGCACTGCCCCATCACAGCCCCTGGAGCTGCAGTGGAGAGAGGGACCCCTTCCTTCTCTGTGTCCTGCACCTTCAGGATTGAGAACACGCTCCATCCTGTGGGGTCACAGAACATCCTTGTTCTCTGTGGGAATCCACCTGGCCTGCTCTGGGCTCACCAGCCAGATTTTAGCTTACGATATTGCTCAACATTTATTACTAACTCCTGAAATAGTCTATTTTCCAGTCATCTTTCTATACACATCCACACCCTCACGATTTCCCATCACTTGGCAAACGCAGACTTAACCTTCCGGGAAATTCAGCTTTGACAACTCAACCCTGTTTCCGGTCCCCAAAGACTGGGGTGAGCATACCTCATTGTCACTCCTTTAGCAGGCAGTGTTACCCTTTGTGGACATCCATCTCTCCATGGACCATGGGGCCCTGGACAGCAGGTGACACATCTTAATTTTGACAGTATATCTACTGTCTGGCACATACTATGTGCTCCATAAAATTACAAAAAATAAGTAGGATTTCTTCTATTTCCACGGTTGGGAAAGTTTGGGGAGTTGGAGGCGGGGGGCGGCCAGTGCCGAATCAAGATGGTGAGGATGAGGGACAGAAGAGAATGCCCAGCTGCTACACACCAGCTATGTAACAGATTTCTAAGATGCTCATGGAAATGTTATGGCATAAATCCAGTTTTCAAAAGATCCCCATGTTGGGATATTTTCCTAGAAGACTAAAATAAGAGGATAAATAAGAGAGGAGGCCAAAAAATACTAATATACAGTCTAGCTAAGATATTTTCTTTCACACTGCTGGTCAAGATCAATGTGTAAAATGTGAATAATTGAATGACCTGAAATGATCAGTTTTTAAAAAGATAAGCTGAACAGCCAGGCCCAGTGACACACCCTGAAATCCCAGCTACTCAGGAGACTGAGGCAGGTGGATCATAAGTTCGAGCCCAACCTGGGCAACTTTGTAAGCCCTGGAAATAAACATTTTAAAGGGCTTGGGAATGTAGTTCTGTGGCAGAGTGCTTGCTTAGCATGCATGAGTTCAGTTTAAACCCCAGTATGGGGCATCATTTGTAGTGAGGATAACTTTCACTATGGGCGCATGGATCATGATGCAGCATGTATTGCATGTATTTCTTTTCCTTTTTTTTGGTTTGTTTTTTTTTGTTACTGGGGATCAAACTCAGGACCTTGGGCTTGCAAGGCAGGTACACTGCCACTGAGCTAAATCTGTGGCCCATGCATGTATTTCTTACTGTGTATCGTGGTCAATACATTCAGGATGCTACTGCTTGGTATATGGCTCTAGGCTGGAGCCACACAGCTAGAGAAGCAGCAGCATTTCCCAGGAAGACAAGTCTACAGAAGAGGAGAAAAGAAATGTATTCCTCCACCAGGAGGCTGTATTGGGAAATGAAAGTCTTGAAGGTGAACAATCATTGGTACCCAGCTGTGGTAGCAGGAGGGGCATTATGATCTGCTGCTGGAGACTCTAACTGTCCATCACTGGAGCCAGCCACCAGATCCTTACCTTGCAGGGTACCCACTAGTCCAGTACTAACTCCTGAAATGACATCACTGAGAAGCCAGTCCTTGACGCGGTATTTGGGGAGCCAGTCCAGCACGGGCAGCAGACTCTTCAACACACCAAGGGCTCTCTTTCTTGAACAACTATCAAAAGGCAAGAAAACCGGTTACCAATCCAATTTCAGTCATAAGCCACTGCAGATCACAAAGCTATGAGCTGCACTCTGCTGATGTTTGTAATTATTTAGAAAAAGAATAAAAATGTCATGGACAATACTAACACTGAAGCGCTTATCAAGTTTTGCAAAGAATTGTATCTATCCTTTTAAATGCATTATACTAGGAACACAGGATTAAGTGATCCCTCCCCTCTTCCACCTTTTTAATCCTCTGAGAAAATATCTTACACAAGAGCTCATTCTCTGGTCCAGCCAGAGAATGGTCAAGGTGGGGTCTCTCATGTGGAGATTAATTTACAGACTTCTAACCCAGGCCCGGCCTTCTTCTTCTTAAAGAAAAATAAACACTGTGTATTTTGGCAATACAAGCTTGGAGCCAGTGCTGACCAAAACCTTAACATGATGAATGTATACCTTATACTTTGCTACTTGGCAATTTTAAATTCAACAACTAAACATAAAAGAAAAAATATCAGCTACAGGTGGACATTATTTAATGTAAGACATTTAGGAGACATTTAGAAATTTCAATGATGACTCAGTTTTTGGTGTTAAGGAATTATTTTTAGGAGGATAACAGCTGTGGTTGTATTTTTAAGAGTCCTTAGACATATACTAGAGATACATGGAGCCCTTATCCATGAGCTTTGCAATTGTGTATTCAACCAACCACAGATCAAAAATCATCTGGAAAATGTGTCTGTACTGAACATGTACAAATTTTTTTCCTTGTCCTTATTTCCTAAACAATGCAAGTTCTTTACACAGCACTTACATTGTACTAGGTATTATGAATCACATAAAGATGATTTAAACGGTACAGGAGGAAGCCAGGTGTGGAGGCATGCACATGTAATCCCAGAACTCTTGAGAGGCTGAGGCAGGAGGACTGCAAGATCACGCTCAGCCTGGGCAACTTAGCAACCTAGTGACAGCCTGTCTCAAACCAATGAAGGAATGGGGTGAGGATACAGCTTGGTTCGAAAGCCTTGGATTCATTCCCTAGTACTACCAAATAAATACATACATACATAAATAATAAAATAAAATACCAGGAGGATATGCACATATTAAATGCAGGAGGATATGCACATATTAAATGCAAATACTAAGCTGTTTTGTAAAAGGGACTTGAATTTCCTGGGCTTGGGTACCTGCGGGGGTCTTGGAACAGACCCCCTTTGGAGATGAGGAGAGGACAGTAACAGACAGAAAGATCCACAAGAGATTGGCTTCAAAGTAACACAGGAGGAGGCAGGTGGGCGGCCATAGGTGAAAGAAGATTGGGTTGGTCATTGTTGAAGCTGGTTGAGGAGCAAAAACTCTGAGGGCGGGTTCATTGTACTATATTTTGTATGTTTTAAATGGTGGATAATAAAAGGTTTTAAAAAACAAGAACATCTGGCTATGGTTTGACGGTCCTCTGGCACCTGTTCCGGGTGGCACTTTGGGTTTAGAGACGCGGCGGCGCCCCCAGGGGTCTCGTTGGCTGCTGGCCTGCACGCCCGAGCTCTGAATGGATCTCCAGCTGGACTGGCTCCAGGGTTTCACGGACACCTGGCCAAGTGGTGGGTTTACGAGTCATTTTCTCTCCCTCCCCGGTACTGGGGATGGAACCCAGGGCCTTCACACTGAGCTACTTGTCAGTACTTTTATTTATTTATTTATTTTTTAAGTTTTGAGACCAGGAATCGCTAAGTTGCTAAATTGCTCAGGCTGGTCTCGAGCTTGGCTCCTCTTGCCTCTTGTTGCCAGAGTCCTAGGATTACAGGCATCACCACAACTGGCTCTGTCAGCTTTCAGAGGAGCCCTTTTCTCTCTCCTCTCCACAGCCGGGCCTTAGCAAGAAGGCGAAGAGAGACCCACTGCGCTCCAGGTTTCAGCAAGAAGGGGAGAAGGGCTCGGGGAACCGCTCTCCCCAGCGCTTCGCTATCCGGGCCCAGAGTCTCCGTGCGTTCTGGCCTGAGACCGGAGGAGCCTCCCTCTGCCCCGCGGGCGGCGTCACGGTTGCGCCCCCATTTCGTCCCCGTCCCTGTCCCTGTCCCGCGCTACCTGCAGCTCCGGGCCAGGCTGTCCCGCAGCGTCCTGCGCTCCTGCAGGCGCCGCTCGTGCCGCTGCTGGAAGAGGAGCTCGCTGTACACGGGCCGCGACACGGCATAGCTGCACTCGGGGAGCGGCGGCGGCTCCGACCTCGAGCCAGGCGCGGCCATGACCTGCGGGGAGCGGGGGCGAGAGCCACGCCAAGGTCGTGAGCAGCTGCGGCGCCGCCTGCTGCGGATCCAGGGGCCGGTGGCGAGGCGCCCCGGCCCCACCCCGCGCCTCCCCGGTCGCCGGGCGCTGTCCGCGTCCTGAAATCCCGGGCGCAGGGCACAGATGCGCCGCCCTGCGGACTGGGGACACTGGGCCGAGCTCCGGTCCCGGGGATGCGGTCGCTGCCAGCAAATTGCAGCAGCCTCTGGCGGCTCTCGGGGGCTGGGGAAGCAGGCGTCCGCCCCGTCACTTCCCTGGGCGCTGGGAGCGCGGCTCCCTGGCCTTCTCTGCCGCTGTCCCCGACTGTCCCCTCCTGCGCCCAGGGATACAGCCCAGGCGGGAGCTCACTACCCACCTGCTGCCCCAGCGAGCGCCTCACCAGCGCAGGAGGGCAGGTCCCGCCTTTATAGTGTGCGCGGAAGGAAGGCAGCGAGACGCTTTATTTACGGAGCAACAGGGACACCTTGGTCCAGAGGAAGGACTCTCTGCGGTCTTCCCCCGCTTCCTACCGGGAAAGGAGCCCTACCCCCTCCCTCGTGCTTTCCCTCCCCGAACCCTTGGGGGCCGGGAATCTCACTGGCTGTCCGGGGCCACCTGGATCCCCCACGGCTAAGGCGAGGGGAGGGGCGGGCTGCACCTGCGCGGCTCCTGGGAGGACGGGACGAGGTCAGCGGGGCCCAGAGCGCTGACCTTGACCCAAGGCCTGTGCATCCCGGGGGGAGCTCCGGGGTCTTGCGCTGCTGCGCTGCGGCCCGGTGCGAGGGGTCCCTGGTGGGTCTGTACGGTAACCAGGCTTTGGGTTTGTACAGAGTGTGTTAGGAGTACTCAGTGGGTGAGATTACAGAGATCATAAATTTCCTTGTGGTTTGTAGATCTCTCCCTCTCCCCCCGCCCCGTTATATTTCACAATCAAAATCAAGTGTCCAGTGGCCCTTTTCTTACCTGAACCTGGGTCTTTATTTCTTCTCATTCGTGTGGACTATCGGGGAAGGAATAAAGTGGACTGGACAGGAATCAAGACTAGAAGAGGGAGAGGGGGTCAGATCTGTCCAACCTCTTCAGGGTTTCGTCTTGTGTTGGGATGAGTTTTGCTGCAATTAAAGCATGGTTAAGATAAAAGGTGGAAGGAAGAGTTTGGTAAACCAGGAATTTCTCACTCGACTGCAAGTGTTCTGAAGTAAATACAGAAGAGACTCCAAAATATGGACCTTCAGGACACCGACCTTCAGTTACCCAATTGGAAAATACAGATTCTACATTCTGTAAACTCCAGGAAACAGAAATCTTCTCAAGAGAAACCTACTGTAAATCCTTAGTCAACATGTTGTAAGCATGAGTGTTTTTCTGAGGGATAAATGAATCAACTGCTTTCCATATGTTGGAATGGTTTCTTAACCTGAGGAGGTTATGATCCAGCTTGGCACATAGGACTCGTGCAGTTTGGGCAACAGTGGATCCTGTGGGAGGAGAGAGAGAGACAGAGAGAGGAAATTGACTTCAAAAGGGAATTCAGGATAGACTTCAGAATTCTTATCTGCTTACAGAGAAGAGAGGAAAACCCTCTTGTACATGTTGTGTTTATTGTGTGCAGCACGCCAGTGGTCCTTAACTACAGCATGTCCCCCACCTGGGGCACACAGTGTTTGTCACACCGGGATGAATACTGCTGTCTGGAGAGCTTGTGTGTCGAGGTCAGTGGTGCTGCTATCATTCTGCAATGGAGTCTGTCATCCCTCTAAGGTTTTTGGGTGATTCAAGATGTATATTTATTATTAAATTGCAATATGTACTAAACTTGTCTTCCTGTGTATAGATGTATGTATGTGTGTATGCATTTACCACGTGTAGCACACTATTGTTGGATGTACAAGTACAATGCCACGGAAATAGAGGCCAGTATTTGTTTTACAGTAGATTCTGCATGTACCCACTCTCTACACCCTCACACGGCTCTCTCTTCTGTGAATATTCCTCGATGCTTTCAGTCAGAATTAATCCAGTCCCTTTTCAGTATTCTCTTGGCACCTTATCTGATCCTCTCTTAAGAGGCCTCTCGCCAGGCGGGGTGGAGAATCCCTATAATCTCAGCACTTGGGAGGCTGAGGCAAGAGGATTGCAGTGAGTTTGAGGCCAGCCTGGGCTACATAGGGAGTTCAAGACTAGCCTGTACTATGTAGTGAGACATTGTCAAAAACAAAAAACAAACAAACAAAAAAACCCATCTCTGACTACCTTAGTATCATCGTTCCATTTACAAACAAGTGTTCCTCCCCTATACACAAAAACATCTTTTTTTGCCATACCAGTGATCGAACTCAGGACCTTGTGCTTGCGAGGCAGGGGCAGCACCACTGAGCTAAATTCCCGGCCCCCACAAAAAACTTCTTGACAGGAAGCAATATAGTCCCCTCCAGCCATTATTATCATCTTCCATGGTCTACAAACAAACTCCTTTATAATCCAAACACACTTTTTTAAACTAAATGCTATATTACATTTGTTTTACCTATAAATTTTTTTTTCAGTCAAGACTATGGAGTGGATAGATGTGCAGGTTGATGAGTGTGGGTTTTTCTTTACCTTGGCCAGTAGCTGTCAAGGAGTCCCGAGTGTCAGTTCATATACAGAGCTCCATAGTGACTCACCTAGATGAGCTAGTGTTTTTAAAAAATTAATTTAGAGACATTCTGTGCAAATATAAGCTGTAGCCTACTCTAACAAGGAGTTTTTCTTGTCTGTTTGCCATCTTAAACATTTTCATTCGAGTCCAGCCAGCCCTGTGGACCACTTTGCATCAGAACTGGGTAGTTGTTTGGTGGTGACAGTTCCTCCGGGGATGGGGGACTGGGGTAGAGGTAGCAGGACAGAGGAGAAAATAGACTATGGCATAACACCAGGAGCCAAAGACATAACTTCCCTGGGAGAACAGGCAGAACTCTTACGTGCATGTCTCTGCGTAAGAATTGAGTCCAATAACCACACAATAATATATCCTCTATGGATCTGAATGAAGATACTACTTATTCTCTGTTAATTGCCTTTCCTATAGCAGAAATAAATGGTGCCTAGACAAAAAATAGTATGTTCATTATAGGATTCTATCAAAGTAAGCATAGAAAGTCTTTTCCAGTAGGTAAAACAACAGAGTCCCTGAATTTGGCCAACTTTGGAAAACAGAGAAGAGTAGGAGGTGCTAACAGCTTGCTCTCCCCACCCAGTCCACTCGGCATATTAAACATTTCAGCTTACTCACGCACACTCCCCAAATCAAGCTTCACCCTTTGGCACACAGGTGGGTGGTTCTTATATATCAGACTTTAATCATAGATATCCGGGAGGGCTTTCCAAAGAAATAGATGTGTCACTTCAAAATAAATGTCAGACGATAATATCGTTATTCTGCAATACTTTTTTAGCCTTTCATGCTGGTTTACATGGCATTATTTCATTTTTCATCGAGGTACTTGGAATCTGAGAAAAATTCCCCTGTTAGATCTACATTTCATTCATTCATTCACTCATTCATTCACTCACTCATTCAGTTGAGTAGTCCTGGATACGATGATGAACAAAAGCCTGCAGCCTGTGGGTGCAGCAGACATTCATCAATGGTCATAACATGTATGTCCTATTTCACTGCTTTAAAAACGCACATTTCCCCCATTTCAACAGAATTCAACTTATATATCTGATGAGCAATGGTTCAATTTGCCACGTTTTTTACTTCTTAGTGACTCATAAAATAATTGTGAGCTTTACAATTAATAGCATCCTGGAATGAATGAAATATGAATATTTATACAAATTTCTAAATATATCTATGCGTTTAAGTGACTCCGTGCGGCAAGGATGATTTGAGTTCTTTGTTAATTTAAGAGCAGTCTATCTTGCTACATTTTCCTTGTTTAAAGAGAAAATACTGTAATCTCAATTTTTCTTTTCTTTTTACAACTTAATAAATTCTCTAGGGCCGGGAATTTACCTCAGTGGTTTTGCTGCCTGCTGCACAAGTGCAAGGACCCGAGTTCGATCCCTGGTACCAAAAATAAATAAATTCTTTAATAGGGAGAATTGCAAAAGAATAAAAAATGCAAATAATGTCCAAAATGCTGTTTTCAGAAGCAACCTAGATTCTGATTCTTGTCACTATCGTTGAAGCATGATGTATTATCTATGTCTTATTTATTTTTTAAAAATGTGGAATGAAAGGGAATCATTTCTGTTAGGAGGCAGTGCTTCCACATTTATCCACTTTTAAAACTAAAATGCTATTCACATTTCAGATTGGCACTGGTAGTCCACAGAAACCCCAAAAAACAATGGCCAGAGGAAGAGGCTGGTTTCTCCTGAGAAAAGTGAACTGTAATCCTGAGGTTTTATTTCTATTATGCATGTACTTTTCTCACTAGATGCTAAATTTCTGCCGTATTTGTGTGAAAAAAGAACTTAAAGTCTCCTTCAACTTTTCTGATCTCTTCTTTCCCGCACAACTCACTGAGATTCTCTTCTGTAACCATCGGTTTTGCACTCACATGTGTTCTCTTTCCTGCACATTCCCTTTCCCCTCCAGTTATAAGGTATTCTCCTTAAGGACATAAGCAATTTCTATATTTTATGACATATAAATAAGACATGTCTGCTGCAGGAAATCTGGGAAATACATTAAAGTATAAAATGGAAAACAGCAATTGCTTATGATCCCATTGCTCAGATAGTCACTGTTACATTTATTGCATATTTCCTTTTCCCCCAGGAAACACAGATGTATACTTTTTAATTAAGATCCTAATGCAAATCTTTTTTTGCATTACTACCTTGGCAAATTTTGACAACTTAATAGATAAATATTTGCCAAAGCATTGATTGCTTGGTGATAGAATCTGGAGAAATTGTTGTTTAGGAGTAAAACTTTATTTTATTTTTCAAGAGACACAGTTTTGAGGAGATTCTCAGGTTGCCTCTGAACTCCTGAGCTCACACTACACTCCTTTCCTCAGCCTCCCCGGTAGCCTGGTACAGTATGCATCACCGTGCTTGGCTTCAAATTTGACTAGTTTCAAAAGGTGAGAATCCACCCTTAAAGAAAATTCTTTGTAAAACCTCAGTTCATCCAGTTGAAAACCATTGTCAGTGTCAATAAAAATATAACTGAATAAGTTTCTCAGGCCATAGAGGAGATCCTGTATTCTTTCATATGAATCCAAATTTGATACATGAGTAAGTAAATTTCTCTTGCTACCAGGAAGTACTGGCATAGTTTTCTTAGCAAGGAACGATGTGAGGACTCTTCCAAGTTTCTCTTTTTATTTTTATTTTTTGAGACAAGGTCTCGCCATGTAGTTCAGGCTGGCCTTGAACTCACTGTGTAGCCCAGGCTGGCCTTGAACTCACTGTGTAGCCCAGGCTGGCCCAGAACTCACAGTGCTCTTCCTGCC